TCAGTAAATGCAGATGAGAGAACACACACGAAGCTTGTCTGTCCTTGGGCGTGTCCTGCCTGTGTCACCGGGGCCTCCTGGTGGCTTCGGCAGCCTGGGGCAGGGCCCGGTGAACCCCTCTGACCAAGGACTTGCTGGGACCCAGTGGAACGCGCGCCTGCACCTCAGCCACTTTCAAACCGGGACTCAGCCCTGGGGCTGGGGCCAGCCTGGACACCCACGGCCCGGGATCTGGCTCCGACACGAAGTCCCAGCAAACAGGCCACCTCTCCCTTTGCCTCTGGGAGGCTCTCAGCCAACAAGGCTGCGCGCCACCGCCTGCGGAAACGGGGGGCGATTCCAGGCCCCCTTAGACTTAGACAACCCTGCTTACGGGGCGGGGCCTAGGAGGAAGGGGCTTCCTGCGAGGAAGTGGCTTGGGGGGTCCTAGGGGCCAGGTGGATGGTGTGAGCGGTGGAGATAGAGTGCAGGTGTTCCAGGGAGAGGGAGCAAGGCCTGCAAGCTGGTGAGCCTCTCAGAAGAGGGGCCCATGCCTGGGGGGTGAGGAGGAGGGGAGATTCCTCCCCATGAGGTGTGGGGGATGGACCCCCAGTCCCAGGTCCCAGGAAGCCGTGAGCTGGGAAGGGCAGACGCTGGCCCGCGGCCCAAGGGGCTGGGGGAGGGAAGAGGCCAGCCCAGCACAGGCTGAGCCCCACGTGTGTTCTTTTGCTGGAACCAAGCGAGGGGACACACGGGGGTGGGGCCGAAGGCGGGCCCTGGGGGTGGCTCAGGACATGGCGATGGGAAGTCTGTTTGGGTTTGGAGCCAGAGCCTGGCCGCTGCCTCCCCCTGCCCCTGCCCCTGCCCCCAGCCCCTTGCTTTGCTGCTGGGAGAGCCAGCTCAGTGTCACAGCCTGGGGCCCACCTCCATCACAGCCCCACCCACTACCGCAAGGGACTGGCAGGACTGGCTGCATATCTCGGACCCATTCCCTGGGCTGGGCTCCTGGGGGCAGGTCCGCTGCCCACTGTGAGCACCAGAGGGCAGCCTGCCCGGCTGCTCGTCATGGCCAGTGCAGGGGGACCCGTGGGTGGGCATCGGCTCCCTTCTCGGCTGCCCGAGAGGGTGTGGGGGACAGTCAGAGGGGGCTCCTGGGGACGAAGGGGCCAAGACCTCCCAACTTGGAAGGGCCCTGGAGAGAGAGGGAGTCCTGGGCTGGGTGGCCAACT